TGTTCCACTGATTAACTGTTCTAACTGTCAGGAAATTTCTCCTCAGTTCTAAGCTGCTTCTCTCCTTCATTAGTTTCCATTCATTACTTCTTGTTCTACCCTCAGGTGCCTTGGAGAATAGTTTGACTCCCTCTTCTTTGTGGAAAGCCACAAAGAACACTGCTATCATGTCTCCCCTAGTCCTTCTTTTCATTAAACTAGACATACCCAGTTCCTGCAACTGTTCTTCATATGTTTTAGCCTCCAGTCCCCTAATCTTCTTTGTTTTTGTCATTCAGTGAGCTCCTGAGCCTCTGCAAAGTGCTTCTCTTAAGGCACAGGGTCTCTGAGATTCTACAGAGTGCTTTTTTATTTAAAAAAAAGCAAATTCAGAATACAGCTGGAAGGGACCTTGGAGGCCTCCTAGTCCAGGCCCCTGCTCAAGCAGGAGATCCTACATCATTTCAGACAAGTGACTGTCCAGGCTCTTCTTATAAAACCTCCAGTGATAAAGCACCCACAACTTCTGGTGGCAAACTGTTCCCCTGGTTAATTGTCCTCACTCTTAGGCAGTTTCAACAGGTTGCTTCTTTATTGGCAGCAGGAGATATCTGCGCCTGTGCAGAGCGCTTCGTAAAATGGGACCTCACGCCATCCCATCACTTAGGCACAGGAATTCCGGCACTCCCTCCTGCCATTGCAACTTCCTGACGGCTTCCAACAACAAAGTCAATGGGGAAGCCGGCAGGAAGCAGCAAGTCCCAGGCAGCTGGCAAGCAGGCTGGCTGGCAGGTAAGTGGCTGCTGCCGCCGCCGATGTTGTGGCCCGCCAGCGGCCACCAGAGCTGGCAGCAGATTCGGACAGTGAGGAGGTTAGGGAGGAACATGGGCCAGTCCTGGAGTCTGGGGAAGGCTCTGATGGGGGCTCTGTGTTGGAGGCAGAGAGCGGACCAGGGACATCTGACAGTTATCAGCTGCCTTCAGAGCTGGAGATCAGTGGGGCAGAAGAACAGCTGGAGCCTGTTCCTGGTGTTCCCGGAACCGCTGAAGAACAGGGGCCGACTTGGGAGTAAGGCGACAAGTAGACGATGAATGGCCCCTCCCAGAGGAAACAAAAGAGGAGCGAAAGGGGAGTGGAGTTTGCAGGAGACCATTAGTTCGCTTCATTGGTTCGCGACTTTCTGGGACTCCTTGCCAAGTTTTGTAGCTATCGGCCTGTCAGCTCTCCAAGCCAGAGAAGGTCTGTGACTGTAAATCCTCCCTCAAAAGACTTTGCTGGATGTGAAGGAGCAGAATTTACAGTCAATTCATAAAAGGGTTTTTTTGTCCGGACCGGAAGTTTGCTTCAGGCTCTTGGGAAGCCTCGGTCAGAACAGCATCAAAGAAAAGGGAGGCCTGTCATTGACTGGGAAGACTCGGGGTCTTCCGAATGGGAAGACTCGGGGAAGAGACTGCTGTTACACCTTTCCTTCCCTTTTGGCGAAGATATTTTGCCATCGGGTCAGAAGACGGTGCTAGAAATGAAGATACTGGGGGGGAAAGGAGAGAACCGGGCACTTGTTGAGATTCAAAACACCCTTAAGCTGTCAAGCCTTATGGGACTCCTCTGGGGAGGAAGCTGTGCAATGAGCAGAATTCACAGTCAATTAAAAAAGGTGTTTTTTTTGTCAGGACGAGGAGTTTGCTTCAGGCTCTTGGGAAGCCTCGGTCGGAGCCACGAACACAGCTTCGTGCCCTCAGCGCCCCAGGGAGGCTTCGTCCCCGAAACCAAACTGTGCTGCATTCCGAGAGGGGGGAGCTTTGGGCTGTGGGGGGGGGGGATGATGCCTGCCTGTGCTGAAGCCATGGGGCCCAGCAGACTGCGGTCGAGCGAAGTTCCTGAACTCGGATTCACACTCTGCATGTCGTAGCTTGTTGGGACTAACCTGTTTTTGGCCTTCGGATGAGGAAACTATTTTGCATAGCAGGCCGGAGTGGTTCGAATCCATCACGCGAGCAACCAAAAACAATAAGTTGCTCAAAAATTTCATTTGGGTGGCAGAGAAACTCAACCTTTTGTGCAACACCTGTCTGGCTGCACAGAAAAAGAACTCAAAACCTCCTGGCTTATCTGCATAACTTACCCAGAACTATTCCCCTCTCCTCCTCCCCACCCCTTTCAGCTTTCTGAGAGTCTGACCATCACCTGACAGGGCAACCCAGGTGCATAAGGATGCCAATCTGTAAGGTACTGTTTCTGATCCATGTGGGGCCGCCACATCCAGCTGTTTTGACCTAGGCTTCACCAAAAGGCGGTTCCACCACAAATCCGTGGTAGACTAAAGCGCGCTCGACGAAAGCGCNAGTAATTTGGACTTTAAATTTGATTAAAAACCCATAATATAAAAAAATACCAAAAATTTTAAAAAATGATAAATTTGAAGACAATTTTTCATCTTGTGGCAAATCATGATGTCTAGGAGTTTTTTCAATATTTTATTTGTTTTCAGCACACCAAAATACAGGGGAATTAGATGAAAATAATCAAACAGCTTTTTAGTCGCAGACCTGTGTAATGTCTGCAATTCAAAGAGTACACTATATATCAGGGTGTCAAACTCACGGCTTCATATTGTCATCATGTGGTATATTGTGACTTTTCCCCCGTCGCTAAACTGGGTGTGGGCATGGCCAGGACATAATGCATCCGGCCCGTTGGTCACAAGTTTGACATCCCTGCTATATAGTTTAGGTCAATAATGGCTAACCTGTTCCCCACGCAGAGGTGTCCTGCATGGATGCGCCCACACCCATAATGCTATGCATGTGACACTACATGCATGCGCGACTCCCTGCTTTTGGCATGGGATGGACCAGTTTTTCACACTCCTCAGGTTCCAGAGGCTTTTTAAGAGCCTGGGGAGTGTGAAAAAAGCCTTCCCTTCATTCTGGGAGCCCCCCGGAAGCTTCAGGAGACTTCCTGAAGCTTCCAGATGGTGAAAAACGGCCCAACACACAAACTGGAAGTCCATTCCTAAACTTCCAGTTTGCAGAGCGAAAAATGGCTGAAAAAGAAGTCCAAAGTCAGTTCATCAGCACACTCATGTGCGCTGGAGCTGACAGGACAAATGGCTCTGCAGGCACCTGTGGCACATGTGCCATAGGTTCGCAATCGCAGGTTTAGATTCAAGGGCAATGTATTTCCCTTTGGGTCACCATCTGTATTTTGATTTTCATTCCAATGGCTTTGTATCTAAAGAAAGTTTAATCTCACTATATTATCGGAGCATGTGAGGGAAGAAGGCCTGACATTATGATCATTATATAACAATATGTGCTAGCACGCGAGCCATCAGCTCCAGCACACATGCTAAGACCCTGAGCTTGTTGATCAGAAAGGTTGGCAGTTCAGTGGTTTGAATCCCTAGCGCCACGTAACAGAGTGAGCTCCCGTTACTTGTCCCAGCTTCTGCCAACCTAGCAGTTCGAAAGCATGTAAAATGCAAGTAGAAAAATAGGAGCCATCTTTGGTGGGAAGGTAACAGAGTTCTGTGCGCCTTTGGCATCTAGTCATGCGGGCCACAAGACCACAGAGAACGTCTTCGGACAGCGCTGTCTCTTCGACTTTGAAACAGAGATGAGCATCTCCCCCTAGAGTCAGGAACGATTAGCACATATGTGTGAGGGGAACCTTTACCTTACCAATAATATGGAATTTTCCGTCCCTTGAAATCAGATTGTTCTCTAATTCATTGTTTTAGGAAAATACCAAATAGAGACCTACTGAAGAGTTGATATACTGTTGGCACATACTCCTGTTTACTTGCCTGCTTTTTGAACAGTTCTATAAGGTAGTCCTTGACTTTGCTTAGTGAATGTTCTAAGTTATAACAAAACCGAAAAAGTCCCTTATAACCATTTTTCACACTTAAAAAACTATTAGCACCTCATGATGCACGAAATGATTTATGGTCTGACCATTTTATTATTGTGACCTGATGAGTCTCTTCATTGTGTTGGGTTAAAAAAATGGAATAATGACAAATATCTCTAATGCAACAGAGAGGGTCTAAGCCAATGTTTCTCAACCTTAACAACTTTAAGATGTGTGGACTTCAACTCCCATGATCCAAAATCATTCATCTGCTGTGACAGTTGATATAAAGAAAGACAGCCAGCCAGACAGAAAGGGGTTCAGATGAGTAGATCTCCTCCAGGTTTGTTTGTTTTTTTGCAATGATTGTCTGAAAGCTTAATGTCCTTCTAAGATACCAATAGATGGCCTGGGGATAAGACCTTCATACACCCCACCCGAATGTTGAATGAATGTTGTGTTTTATTGCTATTATTATTTGTACTCACATATTATTTTTACGTTTTGTCTTGCACCCCCTTCCCATGAGTTGTAAGCCGCCCTGAGTCCCCTCAGGGAAAAGGGCAGCCTATAAGTGACAATAAAATACTAAATACTAAAATACTAGATCTAGGATTGTCTGACCCTAGTTCACCAGAGCTTGCGTGAATACAGCTAAAGCATGTTAATTGTAGTACACTTTTTCCTTCTGATGGTTGGCTTTGCATCCCTACCAACTAAAGGATCTCGAGCAGTGATAGTCAACCTAGTCCCTACTGCCCATTAATGGGCATTCCAGCTTTCATGGTGGGCGGTAGGGGTTTACTGTAACTCTGCTTTATAAATTTTATAAAGTAAAGATATTTCCCTACTTTATAAATCACCATTACTTTGGAACCGGTGGGCGTTTAGAAAATTTTACTACTAACAGAGATACAAAAATGGGTGGTAGGTATAAAAAGGTTGACTACCCCTGATCTAGAACTACATCAGGCTGTTGGGCTATTTCAGAAGAGGAAAAAAATTGGAGGTCCCAAAAGTGATTTTTTCTCCTTCTGGTTGGCTTTACATACGTCTAACTAAAGTATCTAGAGCACGGATGTCAAACTCGCTGCGCCACATCGCCATCCGTTCTCCCAAGCAATGACAATATATCTGGGTGACGTGTTTTCTCTGTAATCACAAGGAGGCTTCGTAGAAGACCCCTTCATCTTGCAGGTGGTAACCCGGAATTGCTTCTTGCTACACCGCAATCTGTTGTCAATGGCTTCTCCGCCATCCCCGCACACAGCTATGATGTTGTTCTGTGTGTCATGGATGAAGGTGTTGACCTCCTTAGTTTTGGGTTTGGTCATTCCGCGTCTTTGCATCATTTTATTACAGTAATGATCTCCCACGTTGCTCTTGGGGTCATCGAAGTGATGTTCCAGGAAGGTTGGATAGTCAGCAGCGAAGGTGCCCAGCATCAGGACAGCAGCCAGGACTATGAAGAGCCCAAGGCCAAATCCCTTGAACCACATGATCAGCTCTGCCACAGAAGAAAGGGAGAAAATGCATGAGTATCTCCATCTGAAATCATCGGTTGGAATACCTGGCACAGAAATGGATCTTTCTATTTGGGCTATTATGCTAAATATTTGACTTTCCATGTTATCAAAATTAGGGAATTTTCCATAAAAGCTCCTCCGGGGAATTTCTAAGGAGGCTACACCCCTTTCCAAACCATTGGAAGTTTCTAGAGTCTCCTATTCAGACAGGAACCACATTAGTTTCCTAGCTGACTTCCTTTGGTGCTCCATAGAAGGGCTCTACAAACATCCTTGAATTGGGAGTTCTACCAAGGTAATATTCTAAAGGTGTATGGGAATTATCTTGGGGAGAAAGAGAGAACAGTCACAGGCTAGGCAATGGTCAGATAAGAGGCATCTGAACCAGCAGAATGAATGATCTGCCCTTCACTGTAGTACAAGCCCTACAAAGAAGCTTAAAATGTAGCTCAACTAAGTATTGATAAGCCTAATCTAGTTCAGTGAGAATCAAAATCTCCCATCAGAAAATTATCTCTTCATCTTAGCCTTCCCTGGTCTTAGACTCACCTGAATGTGGTCTTGAAGAAGAGATGGGTTCTCAACCTTCCGTCTTCTTCTCTTCTTCTGCTTTGTACAATCCCATTATATAAATGGTCCACTGAAAGGAAGGGGTGGAGCAGGAAAGAGCTGCAATTGACATCCCCTTCTGAAAAAGAAGAAGTGAGCATGGACAGACGTTAATTTCAAAACACACACACAAAACGTTCACGTGTGCAAGGACACTCTTGAAGCGAGCATGATTATGCATGGATATGTTTCACAGCTGGATCCGAGCAATTCTGTTGCCTTATCACCAATGGTGAAACAATAACTGAAAGACACTTGAACACCCGAAGCTTCTGCATTGCTGTGTGTCTCTGAGTAAGGCCAACATGGAATTCCTTCAATAAACAGAACCTACTCTCACTTGTACATCTCTTCAGAATTGGCTAGAAGGAAGATGATATTTCCAGCATGGTCCTGGCATTAAAAACAAATATAGCTAATCTGATTGTGTATTTTCATCTGTAATGGATCATATTTCTATATTCCTATGTGTTTTAATAGATTAACAGAGTTGGAAGGGACATGTATGTCATCGTACAGGAGACCCTGCAACATGTCTGACAGATGGTAGTCCAGTTTCTTCTTCAAAGCCTCCAGGGATGAAGCTTCCAAAACTCCTGAAGGCAACTTCTGTTCCATTGGTTGATTGTTCTCACTGTCAAAAAATTTCTCCTTATTTCCAGGCTGAATCTCTCCTTGTTCAATTTCCATCCATTACTCCTTGTCTGGTCTTCAGGTGCCTTTGAAAATAGTTTAACCTCTTCTTCTCTTTGGCAGCCCCTCAAATATTAAAACATTGCTGTCATGTCTCCCGTGGTCCTTCTCTTCACTAGACTTTTAAAGATGCTAGTGGTTATGGGTAATTTTGTAAAGATATTTTTTTGACCTGCTCTCAAAATCCAAGTGAATGCAAAGAACTCCACAGTGCCATGGCAAATAAAAGAAATGTGTGTTTATCGTAATAGTAATAGCACTTATATCGCACTTCACAGTGCTTTACAGCCCTCTCTAAGAGGTTTACAGAGTCAGCATATTGCCCCCAACAACAATCCGTGTTCTCATTTTACCCACCTCGGAAGGATGGAAGGCTGAGTAAACTCTGAGCCTGGTGAGATTTGAATTGTCAACTAATAATACAAAATTAGTTGTTTTTCTCCACTGTATTTTTCATGGAGAACTGGTGATGAAATTTCAGCCAGATCTCATTGTATCCGAATTGCATCTCCCTCATAGTGGGTAGGCCTTCGCAAGTTCTGGTGATATATTGAGATGAAACAGTATTTCCTTAGTTACAAGAGCACTGGAGTGAGTTGTCTGTACATATGATGACCCAAAAGGAAAACATACTGCACTGGTATATCACACTATACAATGCACTTTATGCACTGCACACAATTAGTTCTTAGGGATTACAGATTAAGTATTTCTTCTGGTTGCTTCCTTGTAGAACTATTTTCATCAACTCCCATTTTTGTGTCATGGTATTAAGGCAATTTCTTCAGACACAGATCATTCTATCTCTTTGAAGAAATGTCATAATTAGGAGAATAGGTTCTTGAGGTCAACACAGCCAAAGGGATGAGGGCTGGGTCCTTGGGAAACCATGCTTGTAGCCAATTCCAAAGGGTGAATCTGCAAAAGCAGAGACTAAATGTTTCAGCTTGCCGCAAGGATATATTTCTCTTTCAGGAATGGAATAACAGACTAATAGAGTTGAAAGGGACTTTGGAGCAGGGGTGAAATCAACTTACCTTCGCTACTGGTTGGCAAATGTAAGCAAATGTGAGTGAGGACCTTCAGCGCATGTGCACAGTGTTAAAAATGGGATGTGATGATGTCTGGGCAGGAAGGCAGAGCATCCCACCCCCACCACTACTGGTTCACCGGAACCGGATAGAACCGGCTGAATTGCACCACTGCTTTGGAGGTCTTCTAGTCTAATCCCCTGTTTATGCAGGAAACCCTATACCATTTCATGCAAATTGTTATCTAATCTCTTCTTAAAAACCTCCACTGGTGGAGCACCCACAATTCTCGGAGGCACGCCGTTTCACTGATTAAATGCTCTGTCAGGAAATTTCTCCTTAGTTCTAGGTTGCTTCTCTCCTTACTTAGTTTCTAACAATGCTTCTGGTCCTACCTTCATGTTCTTTAGAGAATAGTTTGACTCTGATTTTTTTGTGGCAGCCCCTGAGATATTGGAACTCTGCTATCATGTCTCCCCCCCCCCAGTCCCTTTTCTCATTAAAGCACACATACTCAATTCCTTCAATTGTTATTTGTATATTTCATCCTCCACCACCACCCCTAATCTTTTCTCTGCACTCTTTCTAGAGTTTCAACAATGGCATAGAATAGAATAGGAAATATGGAATATAATGGAATGGAATGAAATAGAATAGAATATATGGAATAGAATGAAATGAAATAGAATAGAAAATATGGGATGGCATGGAATAGAATAGAATAGAAAATATGGAATGGAATAGAATAGAAAATGTGGAATGGAATGGAATGGAATNATGAAAAAAAAATCTGGAAGTGATTTAGTTGGGGGGAGAGGGGGAAACACTAGCAATTTGTTACTTAAGACATGTTATATCCCAATTTTAGGAGGACTAGATGGGTCAACCTATTTTTCAAAAAGAAAAATAGAAAGCAAGACAAGAAACAATGCATGGAAACATCTTCAAGAACAAATAAGAAAGTCCAGTTGCCTTTTCAAAAATTATCTTTGGAATACTGACTAAGAATCTCAATAGACAATGGATGGAAATTAATCAAGAAGAGAAGTGATCTAAAACTATGGAGGAATTAGAGAGAGGAGAGATTTTTTTCATTTTTCATTTTTATCATTTTATCAATTTAGTGTGAGCACAACGGCCCACATTAAAAATGAAATTCTGTTGCCTGTTCTCAAGAAAAAGTGTATATCTACCCAAACACATACATAACACTCATATATACCTGATATAAACATATATAAATATATAACTGCTCTATCTATGTCTCTGTAATTGCTACATGTGCTTCTCTGCCCTTCTCTGCCTGACGTCCGGGACCAACTCCCTTTGCTCCTCCCCACTGCTCCAGGGCCTGACATCAGGGACAAACTCCCTTTGGCTTTCACTGCTGCTCCAAGCTTCAGGCACCTCCTGGTGGCCAACCAGCCTCTCTGGTCCCTGCTCGGAGTCTGCACCCTGCCTAGGGTCCTCCACCTCTTCCAGAGCCGACTCATAGGGTCCCTCGCTATCGGAGTCTGTTGGCAGCTCTAACAGCTCCTGCTGGGTCACAATACCAACCTAATCCAAAAGGAGACTCCCCCAAAAAACCAAGACACAGAACAGGACAACTGCATCGCCATCCTCCCTTACATCAAACACACCACAGATAAAATCAGCAAAATTGTATTGTGTCACAACCCCTGGTATGCCCAAATATGGGAGGGAGCATACTGCTTTCCTTTTCTGTCTTTCAGCTCCACCCTAGGAGTCTTCCAGGTAAAAAAAAAACATTTTTGTGTTGCATTTGTGCTGATAAAAAAAAAAAGGGGAGACTAGTATGGGTTTATTTCAAGCTATTTAAGCTCTCATCAGCTAGCCATAGCCTTATTGGGATTCGGACCTGGGCTGTTTTTATATGTTAGGCAGTTGTATTAGCCTCTAAGCCACAAGCTCTACCACCTTATCAGCTGAGCCAAGGAAATGATTAAGTGTTATGTACCTGGGATGCCCAAATATGGGAGGGANGAAAATGTGGAATGGGATGGAATAGAATGGAATAGAATAGAATAGAATAGTTGGAAACGGGGGAATAATTCACGTGCGCAAGGATGTTCCTGAAAAGAGCGTTTTTCTGCATGAACATTTCAAAGCTGCATCCGAGCAATGCTTTTGCCTTATCACCAATGTTGAAAGAGTAACTGAAGGAGACATTAATAACTGAAGCTACTGCTGTGGAAGTCCTTTGGGAAAAAGGAGTACTGCTCACTTGTACATATTTGAAGTGTTGCAAGGAAGATGAATGATGTTATTTTTCAAATAGTTCTTAGGTTAAAAACATATTTAAGTAATTTGTTCAGCTATTATTTGTGTGAAATTAATTATATATCTGAAATCGTATTTACATCTTCAAAAGTACAAATTGATAAGCAATTTTTTTAAAGAAAAAAAGCATATTTTTAGAACAAGGCCTAAAAACTAGGGGTGAAAATTATACTCTCTCTCTCCCCTCCTACCTCTCCCTCTCCCTTTTTCTTTCTTTCTTTCTTTCTTTCTTTCTCTCTCTCTCTCCTTCACTTTACATCTACCTCTATCTATCAATCCATCTTATCTCTCCCTCTGTCCGTTCGTCTACCCGCCCACCATCTATCATCTATCTATCATCTATCAGCTATCTATCTTTCTATCTATCTATCATTTATTGTATTTACATCATCTGAATATCTCGTAGTGCTCTTCCAAAAGAGTTTTGCTTTTTTGATTTTAATCTGTATTTGGAAGTACAAGTAGCTTACAATAAATAAATTTAAGTCTGGATTTCCAACCTGATTATCTGTTTTGTATGAAGAGGAGAAACAGAGCATAAAAGAGTGGAGTTTCCATCAGGACAAGCCAATGGTGCTTTCATTGTTTGTCCCCTAACCCTCATGGACAATTCTAACTTTGAATCTATTCATATCATGTAGTAGCTATGTATTATTAGCATGTATACCAGATTCCTGGATAGGAAACTGATTGAGAACTATAGAATCTACAGATTTTGAATTCAGTTTTCCAAATGGCCATCTGATTGTCAGTCCCAGTAATAAAATAATTGCCCACCTACAGAACAATAACATTCATGCTTCACCCTATGATGGATGATAGATAAAATGCGTCTTTTATATCTCCTCTGACCAAAGGGCAAAGCTAGGTCTACTTCTCCAGATTGTATTTATTCCATTACCATCAACTGTGGCAGGTTAGAGGCAGAGTTGTTTTGGGTCAGAGGGGTGAAAAATTCACCAGGACCCACAACAGGGACTACCACTATCTGCAGTTCTCCAGAATGCATATACAACAGTGTTACACCTTTGTGTTCTAATCTTCTGAGCAAACCTACAGGGGGAAAAGATGGTGGGAACAGGGGTAAGAATTTGGAGCACAATGGCAACCTTCGTTGTGCCTTCAGCCTGAAATTCCTTCTCAACCCAGATGGGAAAGAAGTTAGGATGTTGCCCTAATCTGCACCATTTAATTATCTAATTAAATCTATATTTCCCAAATTTGCCTATTTTGTGTAACCTTCTTAAACCTACCTAACACCCACTGTAACCCCCTTAATCATACCTAAACTTACCTGTTTCAATTCTTCCTTTAAAAAAAAGAATTTTATTATTTTTCAGTTACAAAAATAAGCATTCCATCTTTCCTTATGCCGTATGTCATCTGTGTACAAACCTCTCTGTGCAACATCGTTCCTCTTTTGCCACATCTGTCACATTCAAATTAACATTATTTCCCTAAGTTTAGTATTATCATATATTAAACATTTAAACATTATAAAACTCTCAATTTTTCTTCTATCTTCTGGTAATAATATATCAACATTAAACATCATTATTCTTATCATACATATACTAACCATTTTATATCTCTATCTAAGTTTATTGTCTACTTATGTTTCAGTTTTCTTCATTTCCAAATTCCTTCCCCTCCCCCAATCATTGGTAAAATTCTTCCCAAGTCATATAATATTCAGTGTGCTCTTTCTCTTTAATTGCTAATGTTAATCCCTTCATTTCTGCACATTCTAATATCACTTTCTCATCCATAGGAATCTTTTCACTTTTCCAATTACTTCCTATGTGGTATGAACGTTTCCTCATCTCGGTCAGGATTTGCCCAGAAAATGTGTTTCTGTAATGGACCTCTTGTGACTGTGTTGGTTGGTTTTGTGATTGTCTTTGTATGCATGATTCTACTTTCCTCATTAAACAAGAACAACTGATGTCTAAAAAACAAACTCTTAGTGTTTGGTGTTCACTGAAATTTTCTCAACAGCCTTTATGATTAGCTAATAACACACTGGTCAATCCTTGGAAACTGTTATGACCACAAGCCTGCTTTTTCATCACTTTAAAATCCAGGGGAATGGAGGAATCATGTTGAAGTGAAGAAATCAGTGCTGTGCTGTGCTGTGCCATGCATGTACAAGACCAAGCAGCAGACATGAAAAAATATGGTTGCAACGAACTCTGGAGATTCCTGACTTTAATTTGATGCTGTTAAAATATTATTTATCCTCCTTTCAAAGCCTCATAGTGATTTTTTCTACTCACCAGATGGGTGAACTTTAACACAATTCCTATATGTGTAAAAAAATCACTAAAAGTAGCTTTATTGAAGTTAATTAATAAATAAACTATTGTATTTGGAGAAGATTAATTAGAGATAGAGCCAAACAAGTGAGTTGCATGAATTTATAGCTGGAAGAGTCGTAAGAAGAAACCTGGGGAAAGATAGGACTTGTTTGAAAACAAATGAAGGAATCATGATCCCTGGCAGAAAGAAGGACTGTTACGGTGAAAAATCACAAGAACGAAACTTAGGATTTAAGTTGGATTGATGGAAGGGTGATAGCTAGATGGTTAAATGGATAGATGAATTGATAGATGAATGGATGGATATAGATAGATAGATGATAGATAGATGATAGGTAGATAGATAGATAGATAGATAGATAGATAGATAGATAGATAGATAGATAGATAGATAGATAGATAGATAGATAG